TTCTTACGTAAAAATCTTGGTGTCTCATAAATACTACACACCTTCTCTTTTATTTGATTGCGTGTCAGATTTTTGTACAACGATAAGACGTTAAGCTTTATATTTCTCTATAGTCGAGAATACTCCAGGACGCAACAAATACAATTTTTTTCAATTAAAATTTGTTAAGCTTGAAAGCTACTTAAAAAAATAGTAAGAAATCTATCTCAATTCCCAAATAAAGCCTTAATATCAATAGTTTTGGGTTTTGAAAAAAAAAATTAAAATAAAGATGCAATTTTGGACTTTGTTAATAAATGGCACAAAAAAAAAATATGTTTCCTTTCTTAGGCTTCCATTTTTCAGTGGTAGAAGTTTGATATATTAAGAAAAATAAATGCAGTGAAATTAGCACTTTCTATATTTGTATATGATTTTAGGAGCTAGTGATTCTTATAGTTATTCGATATAAATTGTTATATAAAACTTTAAATATAAATTAAATAAAAATTTAATATTTATAATTGATATTATGCTCATGTATATAATTATCTTTAATTCATCTGACTAAAGATGAGCTATATTTCAATCTTAAAAAAAAAAAAAAAAAACTTATTTCATTATTGCATGATAAAATATTTCACAAAAGTCATGAAATTTTTTTTGTCTTTAGGAGAACTTAATTGTAATTTTAAGAAATAAGCAGTGTGTCCTTTAAACAAAAGCCCATTTACTTGAAATTTATCATCCCAGGCTTCATTTCGGACAGTTTTCTTACTATTTTTCTTTTTAAATCACAAACATAATTTCTATTTGTATATTACTTCTTGTTGCTCGAAAAAAAAATATATTAAAAAAGTGTGCTTCTATACTAACTTTAAAAGTTTTACAAAATACTAAGAAAATTATGTTAAATATAATCTCAATCATAAGATTATAACTTCTAATATGAAAAAATATATATGCCATTTATTAATATCACATCCTTTATAATTTATTACTTATTGTTTAAGAAAATCAATTCATTATACCTGGTAATAAAATTAATGACTAAAAGAGGAAATTATTATTTTAAAATAATTCAAGTTGAGTATTTAATAATTGGGAAATTTACATACATACCACTTTATAAAATCTTATTTATATTTATAACACCTAAAATTTTAATATTACATGCATATCATCCTATTTTATATTATGATCAAGCCTTACAAATAAAGAAAATAGTATGTTTTTAAGGTATCAAATATATTTTATTTAATATAAAATAAAAGAAGAATTTAAATATACAACTATTAAAATATTAGAATTTATATGTGTCGCTTACATTTTATTATCTATATCATCTAGCACGGAACTTGTTGGAATTTGTCTGATACCCTTATTTATCTTATGTATTTACCACCTTCAACGACTATCTTACCCCACGCCATATCCTCCCCCAAGGTGTCATTACAATCCATTTCTCGTGCATTGGTCGTGGCCGTGATAATATTGCCATTCTCACTGGCATTGTTCATTTAACTGTCATTGTCAACTCAAATGTATGTTCCTTATGTCGAGCAGGTTCCATGAGAGAATATTAGTTAATCAGGACGTGTCATGTCATTAGCAAGGATCTGCATGGGATTTCAGGAGCAAAACACTATGGGAAATCTGCCTCCTCTCAGTGTATGCATCTCTAAAGTTGGAGAAATTATTTTGTGCGAAGAACGAATCGTCTGGATGCTAATCAGAACGTGTCACGTCATCCGGTGCACAACAAAAAAATTACATTGAACGTTCTGATTCTTCTCTGAACCGCATCCGTATCCGCACATAATAATTTCATCTAATGTTGAAAACGACACCACACTGTCATCACATCTCAAATCACATATACTTAATGGTTGTAACCCCGCTTCTATTCTTTTAGAGTTATACTATATTTTTAAATGAAAGACCTCTTTTTTTTTTTTTAATTGAAGACTTCAAACAAAATAATTGACTATTTATTCTAATTGGGGACCAGAATGATCTCTGCCTCTTTTGTTTGATTTGAGCATAGTGGTTAAAAAAAAAATTAAAAAAATTTTTTTTGAAGGGCGTGAGGCTATTTTGCCCATTGCAATAAACACAGGTCACTGTTTTTGTTTTCAAGGCATAATTGTTTGATATGATAGGATCAGGAATCCTAGGGACTAATTAATTACGAAGTGCTGCCAAGATCCCAACCGTCAACTTTCTAGCTTTTGTCCCTTTCCGTTATATACTTATTAATCTATTAATTTCTATCTAATAATTACGATTAAATGTTAATTGAGATAGCTATAATTTTTATAAAGATTAATATATCATCAAAAAATTATCTTGACCGGGCATGAATCCCAATGGAAAATCAAGTTTGAAACGTCAAAAATTAAATCTGGAACTATTTTGAACTCCGATTTTAGCAAACTTACCGTCGAACTGAATGTCTCGAAAATACAAACCCAACGACACCAAATTCGACCAAATCTGAGCTCAAATAGGTCCAAATCAAAGACCCGAAGCGCATTTAAAACATTCCCTTCATAATTTGAATTATGAAACAGTTTCTAATGGCATGCTTGTAGTCAAATCGAGCGACTCGACGAGTCGAATCCAACAAGCCCAAGATTACCAAATTATGATATCATTGAGACATTCAAAGGCCCAATAAATGGATCATGATCAAGGGATTCAACATCAGTCGTCCATTCAAACCACTCCCAATTTATTCTTGATATTCCTTCTATTTAATGGTCATGTCATTCTCAGAACATTATAAATAGACCCTCATTTTTCATGAGAGGGGATCCAAGCAAGAAGAGAATGAATAAAAGAAAACGAAGGAAGAGAACTCTCTTACCATCAGACTCCTCCTCGATCACCGCCGGACTTCCACCCGACAGGCGGCTGACGTTGGAGTTATGCCCGACTACTGACTGATGCCGGAGTTCTGACCGACTGTGGGCTAACGCTGGAGTTCCACTCAAACGCCGTCTGATGCCGGAGTTCTGCTTGATAGCCGACTGACACCAAATTTCTTTCCGACCATCAATTGAAGCCGGATTTTCGCCCGACCACCAAACATCGCCGAATTTCTGATCTCGGTTTGTAACTATATTTCAACACGATGGTTGATTATTGTAATATGTTTGTCCTCAATTTAGGGGATGAGTTAGTCAATTGTAATCAATTCAAATACTAGTGGAATCTTTTTCAGTTAGGCGTAACCCCGTGGTTTTTCCCTTTTTCAGGATTTTTCACCTAAAAATTATGGTATTCTTTCATCTTCTATTTGTGTGTTGCATATCCATACAACGCTGAGATGAAAAATTCTAACTCTACCGCCGCGCATATTCTAGCCCACAACAAATATAATTATAAAACTGTTGTGAAGAAAGTGGTTTTTTTTTCAAAGCTGCAAATAGAGATTAAATTTTTAGTACAAAAATTTATTCCATAATTTGTTAATATTATCTTAATTGCACCCCTAATAACAGCTACCGAATGATGGTTTTAGCTTGACCTAAAAATCAACCAACTCTTTTGAGGGACGAGTGAAGCTTGAATTTATTACAACAACTCGAGCTTAATTCGACTCGTTTGCACCTGTAACAATCGGTACTAAACAATGATCGATAGTGCTCATTTGTCACCCAACACAGGACGATACTGAACTCGCAATCTTTCCCTTAGCTTGCTAAAAAAAACATGAACAAGAGTGAAAGGGTGTTCTTTGTGAGGACCACTTGGTCATCTAACCCCTACAATGATTTCATTAAAGCTTTGCTGACTAGAATACGCATTAAGCCTTTTCATAAGGCCGACTTTATAAGCAGTTCATCAACAATTTATTCCATAATTTATTATTAAGCAAGCTCTTAATTAGTTAATCAATTCATTAAACAAGATCATTACTCGCTGGTTCTACATTTGCTTGGCCACTTTAAGAAAGACGGCTTTAATGCTCTGTCGACTTTCACTGACTTTTTTTTCCACATGTTTTGCTATATCTGTGCTAAGTGGTGGGGGCGGGGCTTTAATCAAAATGGTGACGATTGATGGGCATTGAATTTGGACAGGCTGAGTTTATTTATGGGCCCAAACAAGTTCTTAATGGGCAAAACTAAGGCTCCGTTTGAGACGACTTATTTGTTACTTCTTAAAGCAGTTTTTTAGTATAAGAATCAACAAAAAAATCATCCCAAACGAAGCCAAAATCGAGGCCAAAACCTATGAAGTTATATGATAATATTTCCCGCTTCGGTCTGTTCGTCGATTTGGTTTGTTCTTACAACCCTAACACATTAAAATTCAAGATATCTATAATTGTCCTCCAAAATATATATAATAATCATGATGAGCACATTTATCACTGCATTAAGTTCATTCTCATATTGGTCGTTAATAATATGAAAGCCATCATTAGAGTTCGGATCTTAGCTTTCCATGCTTAGATGATCATCATCGTCAAAATAACCGCCATTCCATATTTGTTGTCATCCGCTACCATTGTTGCATTCTTGACAAAAATGATCATCATGCACAGGCGCACAGCTCAATATATTTATTCATTCCATCTTCTCGATCATTAATTTCTTATGTGATTCAATTTATTCTTTTTGCATTTGCAGATGTTAGGTTTTATTTTATTTTATTTTAAGTTTTTAAAGACTTTAAAAATATATTGTATTAAAAATTACTTTAAAAAACAGTAAAAGAAACATCTCAGACGAAGTATTAGATTTCATTAAGAATATCTTTCTTGTTATTTTATGAAGCAATTTTAAATATAATTTTTAATTTTTTTAAAAAATAGACTAAAATATTAGTTAATAAAATAATAAAAAACTATCCCTTCATTCGTTTAAAGTTTCAGTCAAATGCATACGTGATCTATCACGGGCTTCCAACAATAGGCCATACCAGCCCATTGCTAATATGGACATAGAAGATATAGATATTAACGTATTGTGTTGGGAAGCCCATTAATGAGTACTGATTAAATCACCAAAACCCTAGGGGGTCGATTTTCGCGGCTAGGTGGAGGCGGAGTTGAATCATCCGAGAGACGGCGCTGACAAGATCTTATCACAGGAGGTAGCAACATTTCTGCTTTTCTCAACTTTGTTCTTGGTTAGGGTTTTGTCGACTTGAGCGTTTATGATTTATGCCGAGATTGCAGAGTAAATCTTGAGTTAAGCGATGGCGTACACAGCAATGAAACCCGGCAAACCGGGGCTTGAGGAGTCTAGGGAGCAGGAGCACCGCATCAGGATCACCCTTTCTTCTAAGAACGTGAAGAATCTTGAGAAGGGTTTGTTTCATCTATCGACCCAGCGCCATTTATTTTGCTGTTACCTGTACAGTCCGTGATTCCTTATGCATTTATTTTCCTATCGGTTTGCTATTTTGGATAGTGTGTGCGGATTTGGTGAAGGGAGCGAAAGATAAGAGGCTTAAAGTTAAAGGACCTGTGAGGATGCCGACCAAGGTACTCAACATCACTACCAGGAAGTCTCCATGTGGTGAAGGTGAATTTCTTGCTTTTATATAGTTTTCTTTGTTAGCCGTAATTACAAACTTTAGTTGCGTTTAATGGTATTTTATTCAATTAGCTAGCTTTATTATTCTTTTCGTGAAAAGTGGAGCTTAAGACCATCTATAACTATGGTATGATGTTTTTCCTTCGCAAAATTCACAGTTACTCATTATGTTATTTAATGTCGGTAGTAGCTTTCTTCTTCCATTACAATTGGGTGTCCTCTCTTCCCCATTGTGCCCGCTCAAGATGTTGGATTATCAAACTAATAATTGACCAATATTTAATTTTTCTAGTGAACACTGTGATTTTGTAAAATGGCTTTTTTTATTGTCTTGTTCTTTGAATGCTATTAAGATATCATTGTTTCCTAAATGCATATGTAGTTTTTTTGGTTTACTGTAATTCATTAAAACGATGAATTGGAATAAAATTAGGTTCCTTTCATTGAATTTGTCTATTTAGTAGCCAAATTCAACTTCTAGATTATTGGTTTGCTAGATATCTGAACTCTTGTATCTGATTACTCACTGCTTTCTTGCACTTCTTATTGGCCGGTTGGATAGCTTATTAAGGAAATAGAAGGAACATCCAAACTGCCCTTCAAGTTTGAAATCTCCTTAGGCAACACCAGTGGGTGTTTGTGTGTTTTTAGCTTTGTAGGAGTTTAACCAAAATGGAAGTAGTAAAAGGAACAAGTTGCTTTTTTTTCCCTGGTTACTGTACTATTTTTTAATTTGTATTAGAAAGTATGATGCATAATGATAAACCTGATAGCTTTGAAAACAGCTTGTGTGAGTCTTAAAAAACATCATATATCATGGCTTAAAATTTTCATGAACTATTCCTAAATTTCTAAATAAAACAAAATTATAAAAAATGTCAATTATAAGTTGGTAATTTAATTAATGATTTCTAAGCTCTACACACAATGTTGTTCCAAATTATTAAAGGTTAGATAAATTGATCTCTTAATTCAATAAAAATGGACTGTTAAACAATCATTTCATATATAGCAATGACATCTTAATATCATGGACATCATAATAGCACTAAATACCTTATTAATAATCAACCATACTTGCTAGTAGTGAATAGCGTGCTATATTGCAAAGCTCTTGTGGATTCATAGTGCAAGGTGTTATGGGCACTGGGCACAATTTAAAAAGTTTAAAATGTCAAGAAATTGAATTATGAAAAATTCAAAAATATAATGGAAAATATTCTAATACAAAAAGAAACTATGAATGCCATATAAATAAAACATAATATTGCTTTAACATTCCTGAAAGTTAATGAAAAACATTATGTTCGTGCAAAATCTTTTAGGAAGTTTGACTTAAATTTGTCATGTTTCTATTCTTGTTAACAAATATACCAATATGGCTTACAATGTTTTGCAAATTGGATAATATAAATCATAATAACCAAATAAACTCAAAGTAACAATATAGAACACAATATTCTTACCAATAAACCAAATTAGATTAACCATATTAAGCATTAAACAAATAAAAATTGAAGAACAATGTAGGAAATAATTCATGGAAATAGTATGAAGAAAATAGCATAAAAATTGATAGATAGAAGTGAGTATGCACAACACCATTGATAAAATTATTTGTATTATGTGTCTATGTTATATTGACACAATGTTTGCTGCATAGACTATCTTGCTTTATATGCCCTACTATATAAATAGCATAAGAAGTATGCTGTGCTATGCTATGGATTAAAACACTTGTTATTTTGAGTTTTGGATATGCATTAAAAGATTAGTTATCAAGTGAGTCGATATGTGTTAAAAGGTTTTGGAGGGCAAAAAGGGCTAAGAAAAGCTAGCCTAAACAAGCTAAATTTTATTAAACTTGGATTTGGGTTGATTTGGTAAAAACTGATTGAGCTAATTGACACCAATTTGATCGAAATTGAGTCGATATGTGTTAAATCAAGTTAATGGAGACCGAAGAGCTTCAAATCGTGTTTGATTCGAGTGGAATTAACTCGATTGCACTCGTTTAATTTATTTAATTAATAATCAAACAAATTTTTGGTAATTTTGATCTTGAGTCGAGTTAGATTGACTCGACGAAGCCCAAACAAATTTATTTGATTAAAATTAAATTAGTTTTGATTAGTTCAAGTTTCACTCGACTGACTCAATTTGATAATTGGTGATGACATCGGGGTTGAGTTGGGCTCGAATCGATTCATATCGGACTTAACATCATCAAATTTAATTTGTACAATCAAATTGGCTTGAATTAGCTCAAATTCAACTCAATTTTAATTTTCAAGAAGGGATCAACGAGGTGGATTGAGCTCGTCAAATTCGAGGTCAACAAACATGTACTTTTATTAATAACTTGTCGCCCAAAGTCACAATCCCCCGCTAGATCTATTATTACTAAAATTACAATTCATATATTCGGTTTAGATCTACTCAAATGAAAATCTTTAAATTCTAAGGTTGACATCCATAATTCAAGTTTTTCTCAACTCTCTATCTAGTATTATGAACAACAAGAATATCATCAACAAAAAGCATATACCAGGATACAACATCCATGACTAAAGAAAAAAGATATGTTCTTAAGACTAATCTTTGATGTAATCCAACTGAAACAGAAAATACTTGGTCAAATTACCTTGTGTTTGAACACAACAAACAACTCCTGCATACATATCCTTAATGACTTGAATATAAACATTATTAACCCTTCTTTTTTAGAACTCTCCAAAGCACTTCTTTTGAAACTTTATCACATGCTTTTTTTAAATCAATAAATATCATATCTAGATCCTCCTTATTCTCTCTATACTTCTTCATCAAACCTCTCAATGAATGTATAGCTTCAGTAGTGTACCTACCTGACATAAATTCAAATTAATTTTATCTAATGGATGTTAAAATTAATTTTTGTAAACTTAAAATCCATTCTTGTCATGTTAAAATTATTTTTTAAAAAAAACTTAAAATCCATTCTTGTTATGTTAAAATTAAGGTGTTAAGTATAATATATGAAATATGTGTTTGTCATTTACGATGAGAGAGTTTTTCCACTTAGTCATTTAGCCAATTAAGTGCTAATTCAAACTGGATTCAAATGTATGCATATAAATATGAACGTTAGATGAATAAGCTCACAAATCATCTAAACAAGCTCATATGCCTGAAGATGGTTACTTAAAGGTGATCTAAATACTCCTAATGCTAGGCCGGCAAAATATTAAGTGTGACTTAAGTAAGAATGGCAGTCCATATCACATGCTTAGAATGAGTCAGAGATGGCAGGTAGGTTAGGCCGCACAGACAGATGGTATGACTACCTTAGAATGCTATGAATGCAAGCTACGTTAATAGTTTAAGTGCATCGATCAACCTGTCAATATGAACAAATTTATCAATGCACTTATTTTGATGTGTTATGTGGGCTTGAGAATCTCTGTGCAGTAAATTATCCAGTTTGATTTCTAGTACCATTTAATGACGATGCTATGAAAAGATAATGGATTGCCACAAGATTGGTCAAATCAGGCAAATTGACTTAATTGTCTGAGTGGATCAAATCAGAATCCGATATAGCGTCATCTTATAGTAGATATGTTTTGGCCGGCATTAGATGAAACAACCCTAAACTTATAAATAAAGGAGTTCTTCCTGTTATCTATTTACATTTACGATTAAAAAAAATAGGAAGGTGATATCATTGTGATGGACTGGCCGATTTGATTGGGAGGGAATTAAGAAGTTTTCTAATCAAGAATTTAGGAAGGTTCTTAATCAAAGAGGATTAATTAAGAGATATTTCCTAATTGAATAGGACATTTTTGGGGCTGATTTAGAGGTGATTAATCAGGAAATATTTATTATTTGAAGAGGGGAGATTTAGGGGTTGATTTGGAGGGGATTAATTAGGAAATATTTTTTAATTGAAGAGGACAGATCTCAGGGCTGATTTTATAGTTGGTTTGGGAGGGAAATAATTAAGGAAATAGGAGGGAATTGGGGGAGGTTTATTCGGGTATTTGTTGTTTATTGTTTGCTTTACATAGGCAAATTTTCTAGGTTAGGGGTATGTGTCGTTTGTTGAATGATTTAGATTGTTTTTAGGGTGTTTGGGCTCCAGCCGACAGCTAGAGATTTGGGAGAGCCGGATATTCCTCTTCAATTGAAGATCTACTTATATCTTGTCTTTTCTTTCATAAGATTTTCAATAAAAAAGTGTTTTTGTGTTCTATTCTTGGTTTTCTTGTCGTTTGTTTTCTGACATTAATGGAATCAGATTTCAACCAAGGCTTTTCCTAAATTTTTGCAATCATTCTATCAAATTGGTATCAGAGCAGTTTCTTGGGCTGAAATAGAAGTTTTCTTCGCTGATTTCTGCTGCATTTTTTCTCTTTGACCTTGCTGTTTGGAGACCAGATTTGCATCAAAGTTGTTGTTTTGTGTTGTTGGAGCCTATATCTTTGTATCCATGACTGGAAAAAAGTTAGAAGTGTTGGAGGGGGATATCAGACAATTGAAATCTGAAATTTCGGATCTCAAAATTTAAGTTTCAGATTTGAAAAGTCAAATTTTAGTCATCCAGAAGAAGATCGATGTAAAATTTTTCATTTTGGAGAAGATGTTGAAGAAGTTGCTTGAGGACCAACCTAAGTGGGAGGATGAGGAGGTGGAAGTTTTGGAGGAAGAAAAGTAGATGCCACATTTGGAGCCATTTCCAAGGAGGGAAAAGTGGGAAGGAGTGGGATTTTTGGTGAAGATGCAGAGTTTAGAAGGAGAAGATGGGGGGAAGATACTAGACATAGTTCAACCAATTATATCGCAGTATCAAGAGATGTTTCGGCCATTTTAGGGTTTGCCTCCTCCGCGGTAACACGAGCATGCTATCATGTTGAAGGTAGGGTTTCATATATGTGTTTGTCCATGCCATTCTTCCCAACTCCAGAAGGATGAGATCGAGAGATTGGTCAAAGATATATTGGAGGTAAGGATCATTCGATCCAATGACAATCCATTTTTCTATTCGGTGCTATTAGTCCATTGCTTCAACAACAATTTCCTTCATTCCTCCTTCAAGACAATGTGGCATTTTCGGAGGGAAGTATTGATGGACCGGTTTATCTGATTGAGAGGGAATTAGGAAGTTTCTTAATCAAGGAGCTATTTAGGAAGGTTCTTAATCAAAGATGATTAATTAGGAGATGTTTTCTAATTGAAGAGAGCATTTTTTGCGGCTGATTTAGTGGCGATTAATTAGGAAATATTTACTAATTGAAGAGGGCAGATTTGGAGGGAATTAATTAGGAAATGTTTGTTAATTTAAGGGGATAGATTCCAGGGCTGATTTGGGAGTGAAATAATTAAAGAAATAGGAGGGAATTAGGGGAGGGTTGTTTGGGTATTTGTTGTTTATTTTTTTGCTTTAAGTAGTTGATTTTCCTAGGGTTAGGGGTATGTGTCGTTTGCTGAATTTAAATTATTCTTAGGATGTTTGGGCTCTAACTTGCAGCTAGAGATGAGAGAGCTGGATCTTCCTCTCCAATTGAAGATCCACTTGTATCTTGTCATTTCTTTCATAAAACTTTCAATCAAAATTATTCTTGTGTGTTTTATTTCTGATTTTTTTTGTCGTTAGTTTTCTGACATTGCTGAAATCAGATTTCAACCCAGGCTTTTCTTAAATTTCTGCAACACTTCCTATCATAGTGGCTATCTCTTGCATTGTTCACGAGATTATGGTCATTTCAATGTGTTTTATTCTCGGATTGTTACCATGTCATTCCATTTATCTAACCTACGAATTGGATGCTTCAGGTACCAACACATGGGATCGTTTTGAGCTTCGGGTACACAAGAGGCTAATAGATCTTGTCAGCTCTTCTGATGTGGTAAAGCAAATTACCTCAATTACCATTGAACCTGGTGTTGAGGTTGAGGTGACGATTGCTGATCCGTGAATCTATCTACTTGGACTTGTATTTATCTGAAAATCTTCCTTCTCCAAGAGAATTTTATTCCTTCGCTTGGTCTTGTTGTTCTGGTTGTCAGTGCGCAATTTTGAAGATTTTGATTGACTATTGCATAATGAAAAAAAAAAAAAAACAATGCAGTGCTTATATTTTATTGAAATTTTCTTTAAATGTTCCTGATGTCCCAAAGTTGGCATATGAAGTTTAAATGCTAGTGATGTTAGTGATTGATATTCAGCAATATGTGATAATATTATGCATATTATTTGTTTATATGCGTTTTACCATAGAGGAGAAGACTTACTTGATTGCTGCTGTTTTTTTTTTAACGGTACATACGGTTTTTGGTACAGAGCTATTTTGAGAAGAGAATGGCCTAAACATTTGGTTGGAAAATAAATAATGTTTTTTATGCAGCAATTCAACTGTGCAACAAAATATAGTTTTCCGCATCATATTTGTTTAACATTTAATTTTGTAGCAAATCATATAATTCATTATTAAAAAAAAAATGTATTTGGAATGCAATTTGGTGCTTATAGAAAAGTATGATGAATCATCAGGATTGACTTTTAGGCGTAATGATAAGTATTGACGGTGTGTATAAATCTTATTTATGATGGTGAGCATCATGCTTTATCTTGATAGTGTGCATTTGTCTTTTTAGTATTGACAAGCATTAGTATGGCTGTCGATAATGTGCATCGACCTTATAGATGATAGGGTGCAATGATGTTATTGGTGATGCAAAATTACAAATTTAGTTGGTGTTAGCATTGATGTTGATGACATGTATGCGTTTTATTTGTGATGACATACATCGATGTTATTGATAATAGTGATCAATGAAGTCAACCAATTGATATCTATGTAGTGTATTGGCTTTATTGGCGATATTGTATATCGATGTTGTTGGAGTTGATAGGCAATGAAATTGGTGGGCATCAATGTTATTGTGTAGAAGGAGATGGTTGTCTGGAAATGTTAGTCAACAATTGTATTCAGGCAAGTCTATGAAGGGGGACAGTGGTCAAGTGGCGTAATTTAGGAAAATTGTGGTTAGATGATGTAGTCAAATGACTATGACCGAGGAATGATACTCTATGACTATGGTCAAGTAAGCAATGGTCGTACAATAATAATCGGGTGATTGTGCTTGAAATACATTAGTCGAGTAATTATGCTTGAGTGGTGGAAGCCATATAATCATAGTTAGGCTACAGTAGGCAGATGATTGTAATTTGGCAATCGTTGTCAGATGATGATCATCATCATTGATCATGTTAAGTAAGTTTTGCATGGAACAACTGTGTAATTTTTTCAGAATAGAATTAATGATCTATGATTGGTGTAAATTTTAAGAATATTATGGTATGATTCACATCATAAGTAAAAAATTGCATAACTAATAATAACTTAATAAGCAAAATTATAAATAAAATATGAGTAATGTTTTTATTTTTCATTCACTAAACATAAGCCCAAAAATTTAAAATTTTATAAGGATTTTTTTTTTAATTTTAAACATAAGAAAATAATATAACTTAACAAAACTAAAATATGAAATTAAAAAATTAAATAAAACATTTCAATTTATTTTATCAATTAAAACTAAAAAATTAAAAATTAAAAAATATCCTACCCACCCTCCCCCCTTAAGCACCAGTCGAGCTCCTCTTTCCCCGAATGAGCTGGCATTTGCGTATAGTTCAATTATAATTATTTTGGTAGCCAAATTTTTTTAGTATCTCTTGTACCAGAATAAAGTGGTGTAGGGAAATTCTCCTGTTTTGTGCCTCTTTGCTTGTCGTCTCTGTCGTCAAAATCTTTCAGGTATGTGTCATACAGTAACAGCCTTGCAACTTTACTCCCAATTGATTGCGGATTTATTACCAGCCGTTGGTTGAGAGAGATTATTGGGTTGGACATCTGACACAGCTTACCGTTCGGTACTTCATAGTACTAAGCAGCATTGAGCTCGGTACTGTGAAGTATTGAGCTCGGTACTTCACAGTACCGAGCATACTGAGCTCGGTACTGACGGTACTGTTTGTTACTGCTCAATAAAGAATTCAGTACCGAGTAGAGGGTGATGTGGCGTATTTTCATTGGCTCCAAACGACATCCGCGAACCCAATAATTTCCCGTTGGTTGGAGTTCTGAGCTTCTGCAGCCGCATGCTCTCTCATTCGGCAGTGTTTCAATGATTTTTTTTTTTTATTTTCCAACAAAGAAAGTTTAATTATAATTATTCGAGTACGACATGAAATAAACTGATACAACCTTTGAAGGGTTACTCCATCTTTTGTTTTGCTTCTTTGCTTGTCCTGATGCTACAAATAATCTTTTGATCTTCCTTCTACATCTTCATAATAATAATAATAAATTAAAAGCTGTTTTTTAGACATTAAGCGAAATTAATCACAAGCATCCAATCATTAAATCAAAATGAGCCGCCTTCATAAATAAATAAATAAATAACCTCGCTCTCAGCAGTCCCAAAAAACCAGTATTTTTTTTTAATTACGCCAACTCAATTCCCCAGCACCTCTGTAGCTACTAAGTTCTCAACATGGAATCACTCGCCGCCATCATCCTCCTCAGCTCGCTCGCATCTTCGTTCCCCCACCCACTCGATCCCCTAACCTTCACCGAAATTTCCACCATCCGCTCCATCCTCTCCTCCCACCCTCCCTTCTCCCACCCCAACTCCTTCCCTTCAATCGCCTCTCTTTCCCTTCTCGAACCCCCCAAAACATCTATCCTCTCTTGGTTCCCTTCCTCCCCTCCCCTCCCTCGTCGCGCCACTGTCACCGCCTACTCCCCCAACCTCACGCACCTCCTCTCCATCGACATCCTCTCCCGTCTCATCCTCTCTCACTCCACCATCCCCCACCCCTCCGCCTTCCCCCGCCTCACCTCCTCCGACATCTCCCGCGTCTCCTCAACCACCCTCTCCGATCCCCGCGTCATCCGCGCCATCCAAAACCGCGGTCTTGACCCCTCCCGCATCAACTGCCTCCCTCTCTCCCCAGGCTGGTTCGGTCCACAAGAAGAAAACCGAAGACTAGCTAAAGCCCAATGCTTCGCGCTTTTCCACAACACAACATCTAACTTCTACATGAGTCCGATTGAAGGACTAATAGTTTTGGTTGACTTGGATGTCGGAGCGGTCGTGTGGGTTCGTGATGAGGGGCGCGGAATTCCAGTGCCGAATGGAGAGGGCACTGACTACCGCTACACAGGCGGCGCGGCGCGACAAGGAGTTATGATGGAAAGGGCGGGAGGAGGGACGGGGTTCGAGGTGGAGGGAGGGCATATGGTGAAATGGGGGAATTGGGAACTGCATGTGAAGGCGGATGAGAGGGCGGGGATTGTGGTGTCGACGGCGAAGGTGAGGGAAGCAGAAGGAGACGAGTGGAGGAGTGTGATGTATAAGGGATTTGCATCAGAGTTATTTGTGCCGTATATGGAAGGGAGTGAAGGGTGGTACTTTAGGGGGTATATGGATGCGGGGGAGTATGGGTTGGGGAGCTGTGCGATGCCGCTCGTGAGGTTGAATGACTGCCCACGGAATGCTTATTATATGGATGCGGTGTTCGCCGGGGAGGACGGGCGGCCGTTTGTGAGGCCCGATGTTATTTGTTTGTTTGAGAGATATACCGGCGAATTTTAGACTACAAAATATTAATTATTATTATTGTATCTTAGATGTCTATCTTATTTTGTATTTCATTTTTCAATTAATATTTATGCACTTAGAAAAATTTGAGATTCTAGATTATTGTCTTTGGAAAGAATTCAATTACTCTTGAAAATTGTACAAATGTACAAAATCAAAAGGAATGTGCAACAAAGTTGCAAATGTGAAAAAGAGGCACAAAATAAGCCCAATAAAGAAAGATGCACAAAAATGTGCTACCTATATGAAAAAGATGCACAAAAATGTGCCACCTATATGAAAAAGATGCGCAAAGCGCCACTTGTGGTGATTTTTTTCTTTCCAGATTCTTTTTAGTCTATTAATTCAAGTAGATCTAATGTTCATTTATATTTCAATTGATTTTTGGAATATGCAATTTTTTACTCATCTTTATTACAATGATTTTTCATATCATAAATGTCTAAATTGAATCATGTTTTTCATAAATTCTTACTTATTACAATGTTATATCAATTTTTTAAATTCTATGAAATTCTATGATTTGACTAATGTTCTTAATTCTTAGTTGCATTCTTATGTCAATCACTTTTTTAGATTAAATTTACATATGAATTTTTCATAAGATTTTCTACAATACTAGTCTATTTTTTCTTCACTTTTTGTTGTTGTCAAAAAGGGGGAGAGATTATTGTTTGTATTGTTTAGGGGGAGAATTTTTTTTTTTAAAATTTTGTGTGTGTCTTGTAATGTTTTTTGTGTATTGTTTTTGTGTATGTGTGTATGTAAAATTTTAAAACAAAAATTCTTTTTTTAAAATGCCTCCTTATTTTAATGTATTCATCTATTCAGGGGGAGTTTAGGAGATTTTAAAATGGTTTGAAATTTTACTAACAATAATTGTTTTGCCATCATCAAAAAGGGGGAGATTGTTAGGAAAGTTGCTATTTGCATGTTTTACATTCTTGCAACTTGTATTATTTTGATGATTCCAAATATTATTGTTTTATGTGTAGTTATCTCCTAACACTTTTTGGAAGATTTGTTTTTGCTCTTGTGTGTACTAATATTTCAGGAAAATCAAACTCCAGACTACGAAGACTTCAAATCAAATTCAGCATGAGATACTTTATGAAATTGAAGCTTGTACTTTTTATTTGAATTAAATTTGAGAGGGAGTGATTGTAATTGAGTGAATAAATTTACACAAACTTAAAGGAGATCTTGAAAAAGTTTTTGTATTGATCGTACGGGACGAACATTGTTCGTACGGGACGATCAGATCAGTTATCTCCTTGTAAGAGCAATGGAACGGACAAGAACTGAACTGGAAATATTTTCTAAGTCCTAATCGTCCAGACGAAATCATTTTCGTCCCAAGACGAGTTTCTTTCTGCAAAAATTTCGTCCAGACGAAGTACAGTTCGTCCAGGACGATGGGAACCGACTATGGCAGTTTCTGGCAGTTTTCGGAACCGACTTTTGATATAACTGTTCGTCCAGACGAAATATTTTTGTCCCGGGACGAACCAATTTCGTCCAGGACGAAATTGGTTCGTACAGATGAACAAAATTTCGTACGGGACGATCCAGTGCGCAGAAAAACTTGTTTTGGGCAGTTTTTTGGACGTTTTTTCTTCTCCTTTCTATATAAGGAGTCCTAGAAACTATTACAAATGCCTTTGGAGTTGTTTTCTCTTGAGAGGGATCATTGAGAGGGAGAAGATCCTTGGAGGGGATTTCAAGGGAGTGTGGAGGGGATATTCACACGGTTGCTCCGGCGAAGGCTCTCAAGTGAAGTTCAACAACATCGGTCCGGTTCTCTGCCGACACTTGGAGAAGTGTAAAAGGACGACAAAGTGTATCTTTGACAGTCATTGTGTCTTCGTTCTTGTGGAGAAAACTTGAAGAGAGAACTTGAAAGGGAGAGAGGAAAGGGTGGAGTTTGAGAGGGAGAAGATCCTTGAAGGGGATTTCAAGGGAGTGTGAAGGGGATATTCACACAGTTGCTCCGGCGAACTTGCACCTCATTACCATCGGATTCAAGGGTCGTCTTGAGGGAAGTTTTGGCAAGAAGAAGATCTCTTTGGTGTTAAAGAACCCGGCTACTCCGCCGCACCGGGGAAGGTGAAAGTGATTTTGTACAGGCTTCTCCGCCTTGCTGTGGGAGCAAAAGGAGAGTCACTTTGTGGTATTAGTGCAATACTCAGAGGGTGCCTCTGGGGAGTGGATGTAGGTCAAGGTTTGACCGAACCACTATAAATCTGGTGTGTTCTTTCTTATTTTTTATTCCGCATTTAATTTCATTGCAAGTTGTTTACTCTGGTTGAAAAGTTTATTTTAAACTTTAATTTTAACTTGCATCAATAATTCAAAAGGTTTTCTAAAATTCCAAGAGTTGAAGTTACATTTTTTAAATTGCCAATTCACCCCCCCTCTTGGTTAGCCTTGGGACATTCACTTAGGCTTAACATCCTAATTACTAGATCCAACAAGTGGTATCAGAGCTTTGTTTCAAAATCATAAGTTTAGACTACTTTTTGAAAAACGAATATGGCTGATTTTAGAAACCATAAATTGTTAGATGGATGTTCGATTGTTAGACCACCTTTATTTGAAAGTATTTCTTTTGATTTTTGGAAAATTCGAATGTCTACTTTCTTGCAATCAATAGATTATCGCATGTGGCATATGATTCAAAGTGGTTATTCTGTACCGTCACGTATTATAGATGGAATCAAAACTGATATCCCTTTTTCTGAATGGAGTAGAGTAGAACAAATTTATGCACAATTAAATGCTAAATGTATGAATTGTTTGTTCTGTGCTTTAAATTCTGAAGATTATATGAGAGTCTCTACATGTACTACAGGTAAGGAAATTTGGGACAGTTTATGCATTACATATGAAGGTACTAGTGAAGTCAAGCAATCTAAGTTGAATTTTTTGATGAATGACTATGAACTCTTTAGCATGAAACCTTATGAGTCGATCTTAGACATGTATACTAGGTTTATTCAAATTGTAACATCATTGCATGCTTTAGGTAAAGAGTTTTCAAACTTTGAAATAGTCAATAAAATTCTACGTTGTTTACTTGACAAGTTTGATGCCAAAGTTGTTGCTATTTGTGAATCGAAAAATTTGAATGAATATTCTATTGATAATTTGATTGGCTCACTCATTGCCTACGAGGAATGTTTGGGTCAAAGACTTTTGGATGCAGGTGAAACAATAATGCTAAAAGCGGAAGACATGGAGAAAAGTGGCTTAGTTGGTGAGAAAAGCGATGACTTAACAAGCAAATTGAAAAGTCCACTAAAGCACAAGAATAAGCATCAACAAAAGTGGAATAAAGGTAAAAATGGTAAGAATGTTCTGATTTCTTCAAATATTATTTGCTTTGGATGTAGGAAATCTGGACATCTGAAAAGTCAGTGCCCTAATTTGAGAACTCTTCCTGCTAAAGAAAAGGGCAAAGCTAAGCAAATTATAAAATGGGAAAATAATGAAAAGCAAAAAATCTCCTGGGCGGATCTAGCTTCTGAATCATCAGACCAGGAGAAAAATGATGTTTAAAACCCTTTGTTTATTTGTTTTTGTTGTATTTTTATTTTTGTTTGTTTTGTGTGTTTTTGTGTTTTTATTTTTAGTGTTTTGAATGATTTTGAAATGTTTTCTCATTTGATTTCATGTTTTAGATCGATGTTAATGTTCTTAATCTTTATGAAATTCATTTAGTACTTTTAATCTCTATTGTGCCTAAACTAAAATTGTAATTAGAAATTAATTTCATTAGAAAATCTAGTTTATCTAAATTTAATTTTTTGCCTATAACTTGTTTTAGTTAGAATTTTTTTTTTAATTTCATGTCTTTCATTTTAGACTACAAAATATTAATTATTATTATTGTATCTTAGATGTCTATCTTATTTTGTATTTCATTTTTCAATTAATATTTATGCACTTAGAAAAATTTGAGATTCTAGATTATTGTCTTTGGAAAGAATTCAATTACTCTTGAAAATTGTACAAATGTACAAAATCAAAAGGAATGTGCAACAAAGTTGCAAATGTGAAAAAGAGGCACAAAATAAGCCCAATAAAGAAAGATGCACAAAAATGTGCTACCTATATGAAAAAGATGCACAAAAATGTGCCACCTATATGAAAAAGATGCGCAAAGCGCCACTTGTGGTGATTTTTTTCTTTCCAGATTCTTTTTAGTCTATTAATTCAAGTAGATCTAATGTTCATTTATATTTCAATTGATTTTTGGAATATGCAATTTTTTACTCATCTTTATTACAATGATTTTTCATATCATAAATGTCTAAATTGAATCATGTTTTTCATAAATTCTTACTTATTACAATGTTATATCAATTTTTTAAATTCTATGAAATTCTATGATTTGACTAATGTTCTTAATTCTTAGTTGCATTCTTATGTCAATCACTTTTTTAGATTAAATTTACATATGAATTTTTCATAAGATTTTCTACAATACTAGTCTATTTTTTCTTCACTTTTTGTTGTTGTCAAAAAGGGGGAGAGATTATTGTTTGTATTGTTTAGGGGGAGAATTTTTTTTAAAATTTTGTGTGTGTCTTGTAATGTTTTTTGTGTATTGTTTTTGTGTATGTGTGTATGTAAAATTTTAAAACAAAAATTCTTTTTTTAAAATGCCTCCTTATTTTAATGTATTCATCAATTCAGGGGGAGTTTAGGAGATTTTAAAATGGTTTGAAATTTTACTAACAATAATTGTTTTGCCATCATCAAAAAGGGGGAGATTGTTAGGAAAGTTGCTATTTGCATGTTTTACATTCTTGCAACTTGTATTATTTTGATGATTCCAAATATTATTGTTTTATGTGTAGTTATCTCCTAACACTTTTTGGAAGATTTGTTTTTGCTCTTGTGTGTACTAATATTTCAGGAAAATCAAACTCCAGACTACGAAGACTTCAAATCAAATTCAGCATGAGATACTTTGTGAAATTGAAGCTTGT